TTGAGCACTCAGATGCAAGAACAGAAATCAAAACAAAGGATTCAAAACATTAATCAGAATAAAAATAGTTATATGTCTCCGGTTACATAAGGGTACGCTAATGTTTTCACGCTGGTAAGAAAAATCTAAGATAGAGTTTATCAACTTTACTAGAATAAATAAACTCGATTAATTTAATAATATAATTAAAAATAATATCAATAATAAAAACACAAAAAAAAATCAGCTATAATTAATAATAAAAAAATAAATTGCTCATAATATCCTAAAAAAGAAAAAAAAAAAAAGATGTTCGAAGGCTTATCATTGCTCAATTATGACATTGATCAACAACTAAAACGAGTTAATGAAAACGACTCAAATACTATTGTGAAAAGCTGCATGACAACACTAAAAAAAATTGTATATATTGTTAGAGTAATGACTCAAAAAACAAAGAAAAAAATACCATGGAGTGAGTATCCTATGCCTATATTTAATCAATTAATTTAATTTAATTTAAAAATAATTTTTTTAAAAATATAAATTTAATAAAGAAAAAAACCCAAGATAAGGTGTGTTATTTTTAAAATTACTAAGAAATATCATAAAAAGCAAATAAAAAAACAGAGCTTAATCTTGAATTAAATAAATACTAAAGGATGAAGGTGGAAAAATATAAGCTTAAAATTAAGAAAAAAAAAATGTAAACCCAAGTTGACCTTATAAAGTTGGGTTTATTTCTTAAATTTATAATTTGTTAAATCCTAGATGTGAACTCAATTAAAAAGTTTATCAATTTAGAAAAGATTTCATGAAAAACAAAAACATAGCATATTTGATTGGAAAAAAACTTAAGTTTGATAAAATTGTAAAAAAAAATTAAAATCATTTCAAATAAAATAAATAACAATTAAAAGAATAACCATGCTAAATATTTAACAGATAAAAAGATGAAAAAATTATGAAGGAATGAAATTGAAAAAAAAAATATAATTTATTTCAAATAAAATATACAATAATTAAAAGAATAGTAAACAAATCAAAAGTAGAATAAATTAAAGAGTTAATTTGAAAATATAAAGAATAAGATGAAGAAGGATAAATGGAAAAAAGAAACAAAAAATGTCATAGGCTACAACAAATTTATTCACAATGATCTCAAAATTCTAACTTGATCCCTTCATCACTCACTCGTATCATCATTCTCATAACTCAATTAATAATAGAGTAATATCTATTCTAAAAGGAGGTTTCCTGTATTGTAATGAGTGTGAGTGTGAAAGAGTTACAAACAATTTCCCTCCTCTTGATTAGAAAAGAAAAAAAAAAGAGTGGTCGAGCACTTGTGTTCACCTCCAAAGATCATTGGGGAAACCGAAACCTATTAATTAAGATTTTCTTCTTCTTCTTTTACAACTTGAAGGAACGGTCTAATTAATTATTATTTTTTTGTAAATTTAATGAACATAAATACTTTACTTAATTTTAAATATAAAAAAAGGTGAAGTTATCATTATAGCCATCACCATGAAGATTGGGATGTGTCAAATATTGTGTTGGAAACCGAAACCGGAAACGTGGATAAAAACTTGGTGTGCTTGTTATGGTTATGGGGAAATTTTTTTAAATTAAAATACCATTTTTTTTAACAAATATATCTATGTTTTCCTACCAATACAAATGTATTAAAACGTGATTAATGGTGAATCAATCGTGCTAAGTTGACAAACCAAAATTAGGTTGAAATAAAGAGGATTTTCTATCTAAAGTGAAAAAAAAACCTTCAAAAAATGATTAAATAATTATTTTATTTTTTTTGTTTTAAGGGGTTGAAATTACATCAAATTAAAAAGTGAAAAAAAGGCCATATATTACATTAATAATATTATAATTAAAAAACTCTATAAAAAAATGCAAAAAACATGTTTAAATTTTATTTAGAAATTATATGAAATAAAATGATGTTAAAATCCTAAGTTAATCTGAGTTGGCATAATAAATCCATGACTTTGGTCAATTAAGAAAATGATGTTAAAAAATAGTAATAAAAAGAATGAAAATTAAATTCTATATTAAAATTCAATTAAATCAAATGTTAGAGAATAAAATTAAAAAAAAAATCAATAAAAAAATAATTTATAACAAACAAAGAAAAATTAAAAACATAAGGACTATAATTGAAATAAATAGAAAACAGAAGGACACCTTTTAATTTTACCAAGGAACGAAATTGGAAAGAAAAATGCACACAAAAAAGATTTAAAATAAATAAAAAACAATTAAAAATATGTGTATTCTAATTGAAATACAAAGCAAATGGAAGGACACTTTTTAATTTTGGTTGGCCCAACATGAATCTCGAGTCTAAGAAAAAGAAAAAAGAAGGAGAAAGATAAAACTTTATTGCTATTAAATATCATGCACAAACCACCTCATTGAAATTGCTTTTATTCGACAGTGTAGGATACACAATGGTGAACTTTTTTTGGCCATTAGAGAAGGTTGCATAAGCCACATGACAATCATTCCCCACAAGTTGGCATGTGCTCTTTAAGTGTTAACTTTTTAAAATTATTTTTAATATTTTGAAAAGACTAGACTAACCATCGTTCATGTTGGTTGCTACCACAAAAAAAAAACCTAAGGTAAAAGGTCTAAAATGATAGTTTAAAATTTTTTAGTTCTAAATATAGTTGAGTTACATCGCTTGTAAATTGGAAAGAACAAAAAAATCCTTCCACATAAGTTATTTTTTATTTGTTTTTAAGGGTAATAATGTTATTTAGCTATTAATTTTTAAATTGTATGGAACAATCTATCTATAGACAAATCAATGATGATCAAATCAACATGAATATTAAGTCTATGAGAGAGAAAAGAGAATGAGAAAGATAAAACTTCATTGCCATTAAACACCATTTGCCACCCCATTGGAAATGGCTCTATTCGATAATATAAGATACACGATAGTGGATTATTTTAGACAATTACAGGACACTGCACGAGTCGTTTGAACATGACAATCATTCCTCATATATTTGGGATGTGTTCTTTTAAATATCAATTTTTTTAAAATTATTTTTAATACTCTAAAAAGGATCAAACTAACCCTTAGTCACATTGGGTACTAAAACAAAACCAAGGTTAAAAGTTCAAAATGATAATTTAAATTTTTTTAAGTCCAAGTGTAGTTGAATAATTTTATTGTGTTTGAAAATTTGAAAGGACAAAAAACCCTTCCATGTAAGTTATTTTCTATTTGCTTCTAAGGGTAATAATATCATTTAGCTATTTATTTTTAAATTACAGGGACCAATCTACCTTTAGACAAATAAAAAATGATGAATAGGCCCTTTTGAAAAGACTATTTTAGTCTCAATAGCAAGCTCAATATTTTTAAGTGGGAAGGGAAAAATAGTAAACAAATATTTTTAATGAACAATGTTTTCACTCATAATATACAATATAAATTAGATAGTTGGTCAAAGCTACACCACAATTCAACTTTTTTTTTTGATATAAAAAAGATATCAAGATAATATAAATATTTTTTAAAAATAATAAAAAAAGAGATTCTGGTCAATAAATCAAATGTGTTTAATAAACTTGACTAATTAAATAATATGATTAGAAAATAAGATATTGACAACAAATAAAATGAAAAAAATCAATAATTATTCAATGCAAAAAATGAACTATTGCTAGTATTATGGAAATATTTCTTTATAATATTTCTAAAACATCTCAATGATCTAATTTGTTAATAAAGTAAAAATAAAAGAAAAATAAGATAATTATATAAAAAAAAATAAAAAAAATAAAGAAAAATAAGATAATTATATAAAAAAATAAAAAAAAATAAATCTCAATTCTCACCAAATAAAATGACCCAATTACCCTTGATTTTATATAAGAAATATAAAATGATCAATCAAAATAATGAAATTGCCCTTGTACCCAAAGCCAAGAAATTTTAATTTTATTAAGTCATTGTACAAAAGTTCAAAAAATCTCTTGACTTAAGTTTAATTTTTTTGTTTTTAAGAGTAATTTAATAATTATATTGTATAATAAAAATATAAAAAGACTAATTAACATTGTTTATTCCTGTAATGATAAATAAATTCAATGAAAAAGACTTTCTTATCCTTAAAATCAAGTTAAATAAGTTTGTTGCTTAAGAATAAAATAATAATTTTATTATGTGAATTCACAGTGAAATGCGAGATATGTATAATGAAATGTTAAGGAATTTTAGGTTTTTTTTTCTTCTATATATCTTTTAATCCCTCCTATATTAGTTTTGGTTAATAATGCAATATTGCGCATGATGATCCCATCGGTAAGGTCAAAGCATGAAATGACCTCATTCATACAAGCATGTTTGAACTCACCTTTTCTGAATCAAACTCGATACTATCTTTAATGAGAGGAAATAATAACCGTAATAGAGATACAGCTCGATGAGCTCCTTCGCCTTCCTTTATCTCTTTTATGTCAATGAACACCTGCACCAATTAAGCTTCACTGGTCAACTTCATGTCCTATACTCTCGTGTTTTGGAATGGATTACAGTCGGTCTCCTCCACGCTTCAAAATCCCAAGTGAAAGTTGTGGATGAACGAGGCACTTGACATTCAAAGCATATTACTTCGACTTGGGACCCATAATTTGCTGATTTACCTGGACGTAGATTTACGTGAACATGGAAATAGACTCACCTGGAAACTAATTTAAGTTAAACCAAGAGCCTTAATTACAAGATTACAAAGCTTGATAGTAAAGAAGCCCCACAGCTAGACTTGGAAAAAGATGCCAGCCAGCCAGCCCAAGATCTTGGGAAGGGAATACCATATCAATGATTAAAGAGAGATACAAGTAATGCCCATCATGGTTTTATCTTCGAGAGAAGGCTGTGTAAGACTATAAAGAGATCTTTATTTTTCCTCTTAAGTGCAAAATGCATTTTTTATCCTCGTTTCCGTGGGAAATTCAGACCGTAACTTCCAAGATCCTTACAAGGATGCAAGGAATGCATTTATACGATCAGCATGTATTTAAGGGGGAACATATTCTGGTTGCCTATTTCAATATTTATGTCATAAGTCTAATCAATTCCCTCCCAAACCCAAGTACGAATGCCAGTTTTGGCAGGAATACAGCATGTCTTGCCAGCCTCAAAATTAGACGCTTCCTCATCATGGCATTGGCAAGCGGGCAATCAAGCAAGAACAGGACTTGGACCAGAAGAGTGTTGCAAGCTAGCAGCAAATTCTCGTGCCCACAAGTCACAATGTATAATTTCCTCCAGGGAGGGTGAGGCCACAAATTCTGCTTGGTGCTTATCACATGTTAGCTCCACAACCTTGAAAATGTCAAGATAGCTTATCCTGGAAAGAAAAACAGGTAAACTATTTGTTAGCCAAGGACTCAAAAACTCAGAAGGGGAAAACCTAATGCATCAACTGACATAGTGCAGCTTCATACAATCACTGCTACAGTATTTATGACATTTTCTGGGCGACTCACACCACTATTTACGATAAAAATAGCTAAGACAATTAACTGTTTATAAGATTTTTGAACCTCCTGAAAATAGCTATGCAGTAAAATGGTGCTGCTACAAGCTGTTGTTATCATCAGCATATTTTAGATTAAAGGAATAAATAGCATGAATACATACTTTTCATCAATGAACATTTCTACAGCTTTCTCATTGGCAGCACTGAGGACTCCCGTCATGGTGCCTCCAGCCCGTCCAGCAGCATAGGCAAGATCCATAGATGGGTATTTTACGTTGTCGGGAGCTTTAAAAGTTAGTGATCCAAGCCTGCATCATCCATTTAATTTAATAATAATAATAATAATAATAATAATAATAATAATAATATAAAAAAGGGAGTAGCCGGCGTGTTTGTGTTTCTAGACCAATATCAAATTCCATTGTCTATCACTTCGGCTCAGCTAGAATAGAAAGGCATACAGCTTATGCAATCATGTCTGGGAAGAGATTGAATCACAAAAGACTTATTGTTTACATCGTCATTGAGAAGTTTCACATATTGGATTGGCTATCACATGCATAAAACAAAGAAAAGAAAAGGAAGTGTTAAAACTATAGTTTGAAAGGGAAAAAAGGCTACTAACTTGCAAAGATCAAGGCGAGGCCAAGTAATTTCAGAACAGTAAACTCTCTCTGGCCATGACATGGTGTAAAGGATAGGCAAGCGCATATCAGGCCACCCCAATTGTGCAAGAACAGATGAATCCTGTGAAGAAACAGATGGCAATGCAAAGATGAGGAAAGAACAAGTTTGCATATGTCCGGTATATAGTCCAAAGCCTCTAGAAATTTTAAATGGGCAATTGAGCCTCTGCCAGAAAGTGCAATAAGTTAGGGGAAGCCAGCTAACAAGAATAAGTTCTAGAGTCAGACCTGTGTTTCAATCATTGAATGTATTATAGACTGTGGATGAATTATGATATCAATATTATCATATTCAGCTCCGAACAAATAGTGGGCTTCAATGACTTCTAAACCCTGTCAAAACAAAAATAAATAAATAACTGCAACCTTTTTACCCATATTCCAGAAATATATCCATACATAAATGGTGATTGCAATTCAGAATCAAGAAGGTAACACAAACAAACCTTGTTGAAAAGGGTAGCAGAGTCTACAGTAATCTTTTTACCCATATTCCAGTTGGGATGCTTCAAAGCATCAGCTACTTTAACTTCTTTCAATTTTTCAACAGGCCAATCCCTGTGATCACCAAGGAAATGACCAAATAGTTAAACCCAGCTTCATATAATTTCACAAGGTTTAAGATGAAGCTGCAACACCCCAGAATATTGGTTATTGAGATGTCTGTACTAACAATATGATGATGTCAATTTATTAATTTAAGTCACCTTCGCAGTTTAAGAGAAAATAGATGTGAAGAGAGAGGTGCAAGTAAATCAAGTTAAAGGTTCTCGAGCCCAAGAAAACAGGTCTTCTCAAAACTTTGCAAATTACTGAACGCATCTATAGTTCTGAAACATAACGACACAAGATATCCAAGGAAAATACTGAAGCCCCATTTAGATTTCAGCTTAAAAACTTGAAGATTGTTGATTAAATTATGATTTCACACCTGAAAGCCCCACCAGAAGCAGTTAAAATGATGCGCCGCAATGCACCCTCAGGCAGGCCCTGAATACACTGAAGAAAGAAGATATCTTTTGAGTTCTATCTAATTAATATTTATGGAATTGATTATATTCATTAACAGAATTATCAAAGAACATGAAAATGGTATAGATAAGAACTGCCAATTAGGGCTCGAAATATTATCAGAAGCATTTGAGATCTATATCTAAACAGATAAGCCTTAACTGTCAGCATAAATATATTTTCATACCTGAAAAATGGCAGAATGTTCAGAATCAGCTGGAAGAATTTTTACGTTATATTTGTGAGCAAGAGGGAGGACAAAAGGACCTCCAGCAATTAGTGTCTCTTTATTGGCCAAGCATATGTCTTTTCCTGCTTCTATCGCAGCAACAGTAGGCTGAAATAGATGAAGAGAGAAACTATGATAGGTTAGTTTCATGTCAGTAATAATTGACAAGCATTGGTTGTACCCTTAATACTGATATCAAATCCTCAACAAGAAACTTGACAATTGATAAAATAGTAAAGAGAACGTCATCTTTAGTGAAAAATATGAAAAGAGGAAAGCACAAAATCACATATTCAAAAACCACTCAACTTTTTTCCTATTTTAAAGGCCCTCGTATGAAATCCTACCTCGAGAAAGATTTTAGATATTCTGGATTATATGGAGCAAAAAGACTAAAAATAGAATGATCAATCAGAATTGTGGTTACACCTTTAGGCCTGCACAACCTACTATTCCTGTAACTACACTGACAGCATCTGGATGACGAGCAACCTGAAAAGAAGTCAATTGGCAATTAATAACAAGATGAGCTTCACCAGCAAAACAAACTGAGAGAAAGATGTGATGTTATTCTACCTCAATAACTCCTTGCTCCCCAGGAATAATCTCAGGCTTTTCCTCCACATCAGCCAGAGCCTCTTTGAGTTCATCAACTAATGACTCATTTCTAACAGCAACTAGTTGAGGTTTGAATCTCCTCACCTGTACAACCAAAAAAAGAAAAAAGCGAAAAAGAGAAAAGGCCAGAGAGAGAGAAAAGGCCATCAGATTTAATACTCAATTAAAGAATGGATTGGGAATCACACTGTTCAAAGCACATAATCTGTCAATCAAGGTATTGCAAGTTCTTTACAACATACAACCGTCTGATTACCTGATCAGCAAGAAGAGTAACATTTGAACCAGCTGCCAGTGCCACGACTGTGAATTTATCTGGATTCTCTGTTACTATGTCCAATGTCTGCGAGATATACAAATGATTGAACATGAAGGGATAGAACTTGTTTACACAGCCTTATATTTTTTTCGATTTGAATAACTAAAAGTAAATATTGGAGGAAAAAAAAGAAAAATCTGAGGAAAAAAAAAAACAAGACAACGCACATTGAAGAATGATAATTATTCTTGGTTAAGCGATTGACCTAATAAAAAGCGAGGATACCCAACCCCAATAAAGGCTACATTTATCCAAAATCAAATTATCATAAAATGAAAGCTAAAAGCGACCATCCCCTCTTCCTTAAAGAGAATGCTATCAAGCAGAAACAATAAACCTCCTACCGCATGAGCTTTTCTGCCTCATTGGCTTATTCTCTTTCAAAATATTCAAAAACCAGCAGCTAATTAAGTAGAACCTTAAAGCATAAATGTAATTGCAGTAACTGGGACAGTTTGTTTGATATCCAAATTATATAACTACCTGAGTTCCAATGGAACCAGTAGATCCAACAATTGATATAGGCTTAGGACCATCCCAGGTCTTGCGTCCAGGTTCTGGAAACGCTCTTCCTGGCCAAGCTGGAGGTGGCTGATTCTGATTCTGAACAGAACATTGAATTCTTCTCCCTCCACAATCCTTCCTCTTCAAACCAAGCCTACCTATATTAGGCACCACCAAGAACCAAAGTTTCAAACCTTTTCATTTCTACGACAAAAACAATGAAATTGAAATCAAAGTATTCAACAAAACTATCCGTAGTTAAACTGAAGAGTCACCGAAAAAGTCGTTTTCATACATAAAGCAAACGATTCATCATTTTCTCAAATGTTTAACCTTTTCTATGACACCCCAAAAGCTAAATTATCCAACTTTCTTGTTCTTACCTCCTGAAAAACTTTCCAGCTTTTTTTCTTGGAAACAAAAAGGAAAACCCAGAAAAGTAAAGACAGAAAAAAGAGTAGGAAAAAAAAAAAAACCTGGAAGCTTAGGTATGTGACTGGATTTAGTAGAATCCAAGAAAGAGATAGCCTTGATTTCAGCTGGAGAAAGAAAATTAAGTGCATCTTGTCTTAGCTAGTTAATACCAGTACTGTATCTTAATTTTGTGGCTCAAGAATTCAAAATCCAAAGAAACTGAGAGAGAAAGAAGAGAGTAGAAAAATATAATCCTTTCCTTCTTGAACAAAATTACAAGTGGGGGTCAAGCCTAATATAGCCATGGACATAATAGTATTAATAACAAAGCATGCGCACCAAACAAAAAATAACAGTACTAAGCACTACTGATTTAAAGAAAGGTATGTGTGGCTAGTGAATTGTGGGGTTTTTTTTTGTTTTTTTGGTTCTCTTAGAAGTGGGCAAGATTGGATGAAGTGGTTGTTTATCATTTTTAAAAAATAAAAAGATGTTATTTTCATTTATTTTTAACCATCAGATTTCCAAATACTATCTTAAAAAAAAAAAAACGTCAGCGTTGAACATGGGGTAGTGGGTGATTAAGGACGACACAGGAATCAAATCATGTTGTGGAATTTCGCTTAGTTTTTTGGAGTCAGGATCCCGTCCTTCCTTCAGTAATGTTGATACTGTCAGCATTTAACAGTTTTCTTCTTACGAGTCAACGATAGTTAACACATTCACTGTCCTTGGATCGCTTTCCAGAACTATGATGCAATAACAGTAACATGCTCCCATAATTTCAACAAATGAGGGTAATATTGATGGATTTTCTTAGTATTTTATCAACTTTTGAAGATAATATAAAAGGCATAATCTTCCTTCTTCCTCTTTTTTTATTCATTTACTCTTTTTATTCATTCAAGTTTGAGTGGGAATCTGTTCTTAGTGTTTTATGCATCAAGAACAAATTTATCTTCATAAAAATAAAAAATTTCCCATTTATCTTTTCTTTTTTCTGCAATTCACTGTATTAAAAACTCAATAATATTTCATGGTGCAAGGGCCATTTTCATTTCCCAAAACTGTGTCAACGAAGTTCTGCAGCTACGAATATAAAAAGGCCATTTCCATTTTCCAATGGACTACTGTATGTTGTGATTTCGAGCACCTATCGTGCCTCGGGGTGCTATAATAGATGGAGTTTACAGTTTACAATTGATTAAATAGTAGGGTGGAAAACGACTATAAGTATATTAAGTTTTTTTTTTATATATTTATATTTTATTTATTTATTGAGTAAAAAAATTAGATATTTATATTTTATTTATGAGGTTTCTATTATTCAAATAGATAAAATAATAAAATAATATTTAAAGTGTGTGTGTGTATTAAGTTAATATTGAGATATGAATATATTATATTAGATTAAGAAAACATAAATATTCTATATATACATTTATATAGTACAATTATATATCTCAATAAAGTTTAAAAACATTCTTACCAAGTAATATAATTATTTAAAATAATTTATTTATTCAAGTTGGTTTAGATTAATATCCTTTAAGTTTGAATTAAATTATCATTCTATATACAATTTATTTTTCTAAATTTATTAATGCTCCATTAGCCTTGTTTTGTTTTTATGCAGAGGTATCTTGTGGGTTTTTGATGCTCGCCATGTATACAATTTAGATTGTTTTACAAAAGAAGTAGCTCTCTACCCCAATAATTATCAATTAATCAAATACTTCCCAGCTGAAGAGCAAACAACACGGATTATAAAAAAGAAAAAAGCATAAAACTCTATTCCATGGATTGACCTAAATATTAATGAGATATGCTCCTCGCACACTCCTAATTTCTTCTAGAAATTAAAGAAATATTGTAATTTCAACTAATATTCAAGTTGATCAGAAAAACATCATGATATAATCATGCTGACTGCGAGCAAAGTACTTTTTTCAATTAAAAGAAGAAGAACAAGAAGCCCATATGCACTCCAAGTTCATTTATGCAGCCAGCGAATGAAATCCCTATTTTACTGTGCCGGGACAGCGGGAAGTGGCAGATACTGATGTGTTAGAACTATACATATAAAGGTATCGGAAGTTAAGATCCTTTGTCTCCTGAGCTTTGGCTTCTTGTCTGCATCATAAAACTTTGGATCTCTTAAAGCGATGAGAAATTGGATGCAAATTTACCTGCAAGTTCCTTAACTGTCCTATTTGCTGTTAAAAGCATCATTTTCTTATTAAACCAGTGATGGTGGATTAAAGAATAAAAATCTAGCAGTTATTATACTTTAGCTGTTCAGGCTAGACCCAAACGGGGATAGCCGTCCTAGCCTGACACCCTCTAGGCACAATAGGCCGCTCACCATGTTTTTTAGGCATAGACCCAATACCTTCCCCGAGCACAAAGTATTTTTTGAGTTCTGAGAAGTCAGATTGGTTGTCGACCCCCACCCACCACCCACCGTGCACACCGGCACACCTTCAAACCACACATACCGATTTTTTTAACAAATCAGAAGCATTGATCTCTCCATCAGTATCAAGTCTAAGAGAAAAATCCACATTACACCTTCATTCCAAGAAGCAGTCATGGAATGCTAGAGTACTTCAAAGTTTACAGTTAATTTTTTAAAAATTTTGTATTAAAAAAAGTATAAAAATAATATTTTTTAAAAAAATAATCTGAAAATAACAAAAAATATTAATCTATTAAAAAAAGTATAAAAATAATATTTTTTAAAAAAATAATCTGAAAATAACAAAAAATATTAATTTAAAATAAGAAAAAAAATAAAAAAATATTTTTTAAAAAATATTTTTTAAATAAAATAAGAAATAAAATTTTGCGAGCTTTTATAGCCCAAATACAATAATGTAATTTTTAAAAAATAATTTTAAAATAAAATAATAAATAAGGTTTTGTGAGCTTTTATAACCTAGATACAATAATATAATTATCAAGAATGAGCTCTATCATTGATCCAATAGACCGTCGTGAGAGGCTCCTACCACAAGAATGAGCTCTATCATTGATCCAATAAACCGTGGTGCGAGGCTTTGCCAGGGCTTGCTATGCCAAAATCAAGAGAAACCTTATCTTTTTTTTTTTACATTCTTATATTGTTTCATGAGAGGAATATGAGAGGGTAAAAAAGAAGATTCTATCAACTTGTTTCGATTTAGAATAATAAACTCATAATTTTACTTTACTATTAAGAAATAAAAAAAGATTTTTATCGAGAAGTTTAACTCATAAATAGCTTCTTTTATTTGGGTGTGAAGCATTATCAAACCTAGATACCCAACATAAAATAATATTTAGGCAATTTTATTTTAAAGAATCAGTATGAAATATAAAGCAAACTAGAAGGGGACGGCCACTAAATGGACGAGGAATTATATAATATAAACAAATCACAAGATGGCCGGCCCACTATCTCTAATCCAATTTTTAAACTAGATTTCCCAACATGAATATCTCTTTTCTTTCACGCTGTTATTGAAAGCAGAATTATTAAATGAGAAACAAATCAGATGATTAAGCTCGAATATTTATGATTTGGTAGGTACTTCTTAGTTGGCAGAAGAAGAAAAAAAAGAAAAGCAATGCATTAACCTAGAATATATATAATGTTTATGTTCTGAATCGAAGTAAAAAAGATATAAAAAGGGTTGAGTTAACCTATAATATTTTGTTAAATTTGATATCTAGATTATATTATTAGAATAATCTATTAAAAAAATTACAATGTTTTTTTAAATAAAAAATTATGTTAATTTTTCAAACTCATGATTTGACTTATTAGACTTGAAGTATTTATTCTAGAAAAATCATGAAGTTCAATTCTCACCCAATCAATCATATATTGAAGGATGAAATCGAAAAATAAATTTTAATTATATAATTTTTTTTTAAAAAATAGCAATTAAAAAAATATGGATCAAAATTAAAATATAAAATAATTTTTATATTCAATTAAATGGTGAAATTTAAAAAAAATTAATTTAGTGCAAGGATATTTTTTTTAAAAAAAGAATGAGGTTCAAAATTAACATAAAAAATAAAAAGAATGTTTTAATTCAATGATGAAATTAAAAATAAGAATAACTTTTGCAAAAGTATTAAAAAAAAATAAAAATCAAAACAACAAGAGTCAAATTAAAAAAGATATACCATCACTTTGAATTAAATAATGAAATAACTTTTACAAAAGGTCAAGGCAAAAAATTATAAATCCAAATAATAAGAACTAATTTGAAAAATATAATATTTGGTAAATTAAAATTTAAAGATGAAATTGAAAACATATAAAACTTTTATAAAAAGACAAAGATAAAAATCAAAAACAAAAAAATAAAGTACTGAAGTTAAAATTCTAATAACTAAAAGGGTCAAATTGTAATTTTAGAAAAACAAAGAGAAAAAAATAAAAAAATAAAAGTTCACTGAAAACAAACCAAACCATCATCAAAAACATTTGTACCAGTAAATAAAAAACATGACAACACTTTAAAAAACACAATAAAAAAATATTTTTTATTGTCGGGAGGCATTGTATGTGCTACTCAATGTACATGAGTGACTTGCACATGTTCCTAGATGTGTCACATGTACACATCCTACTTTTTTTCTTTTTAGCTAAATGTAAAATTGCTTTTAGATTGATTTTCTAATTATAAAATCTTTGTAAAAAACCAAAAATAACCTTTAACCTCATAATTAAATTTTTTGATTTTAAAAGTATTTCTTGTTTTACTCTACATTTTAATTGTTTATTATTTTTTTATTTGGTCAAATAAAAATTTCCTCTTAATTATAATAACAAAACAAACCATAGTAAAAACATAAAAATACCCTTTGATGTCATATTTAATTTTTTTGCTTCTAATAATATTCTATTGTTTCACAATGCAATTAATATGAGAAAATATTTATTGTTCCTCAATTAATTTGAAAATAATAAATAAACCATATAAAAAGATTTTAATACTCTTAGAAACCTTAGAAATCAGGGCAAAGTATTTTAAGTGGAAAAACAAAATTATCATACCGTTGTAGTGTGCGAATAAATATAGAGAGCTACAGTAATGGGTAAATTAGGTTTTGTTAATAACATATATATAAAAAAAGATAAGAAAATCAAAAGCCATGAATTTTTAACTAAGGCCAACGCTAGGAGAACAAGAAAAAAGGAAAACTGAAACGAATTAATCTAGGTACAAAGCAACGATTAGATCTCGAAGCGTTGGTCCTTGATGATGATGATGATTATAGGAGGATGACTGCACACCAGGGTTTAGAGGAAATTTTCCTAGCTAAATTTTTGCTTCCGCTGGCCTGTACTACTTTCCCTTCTTTTTTTTTCCATGAAAAATTATTTTTTTAAGATTTTTATATCATTTTAAATATTAATATTAAAAATATATTTAAAAAATAAAAAAATTATTTGAATATATTTTTTAAAAAATTTAAAAATTAATTATTATTATACTCATTCACCATGCAGAAACTTTCAAAAGAGTAGCCTGGTGTGTATCTGAGAAAAAATGAAAGAAAAAGAAAACCAAAATTATTTTTAATAACTTGGTACGCCAAGCTTTGATACTGAACAAGCAAGCAAAACTCACGTATCCTCGGTGAGCTTAATGGGAGTGCAGTACAAAACACTAACCACACAACAATTGTACAAAAACATAGACCAGTATTCATAACTTTATTCTCATGAAAATGAACTCCGGGTACAGTCTAAAAGAGTAAAGTTTGACACATAATTACATGTGGAATCAAATTGATTGTCCCATGTTGATCAGAAGTATTCTCAGGCAGTTTTTTCAAACACAAAAATGTACCTTGGATCGGTTAGATCATGCAAATCAAACTCTGCTTTAGTTCTCATGGATTTGTTCTTGCTCCTCCTGTATCTCACTTGAGTTCAGCACTGACCCCCCACCATTAATCTCCACTGCACCTCCTGATTCTGATATTTTTGTTATCCTCTGCAGCTCATCAGCTGTGTCTATTGGATGAGACACAGATTGATCATCTTCTGACTGTTCTTTCTGAATTGATTGTTTTGGTCGTCTGATGGCTTCAGCTGCTTCAGGCATCACGACTGGGGGTGGCTGTGGAGGGACCCATGCACGCCTAACTGGTTGCTCGCTGGTTTGTACACCAAAAGGTCCAGCTTTTGTTTCATCTCCATTTTCTATCTCTGTGATTCTGGCATTTTTCTGCTGCCAACGGGGTTCCATGCTCTTGCCATCCAACTGATCAACACCACTGTCATGTACATTGGAATTCAAACTTTCTCTGCCCACTTGAGACTCAAGCACTTGGCTTGAGTTGTTTTGAGCTCGACCAACCTCCCAGGGCTACTCAGAAGGGTAGAGGAGCAGTTAGCTTTAATGTGAATACAAAAACTCTAAAGAAGATTCTTGTTATTCAATGTATTTTGCAAGAGTCTAAAAATATGAAGATGTATTTTTCCAAGTTATGTATCTCAAGCTGAACAAATGGATTCTATTTTTAAGAGTGAACTCAAAAATCGATATCAACTTAGAGCTACGTTTGATTCATACATTAGAATAAGACATGATGCATTCAGCGATACTGAGTGATAGATAAAGTAGATACCACATCAATTTGTAAGGCCTTTTCGTTTTTGCTAATTTTAGCACTACTCTTGTCAAATATAAATAACATTCTGGAATAATTTAATAACATATCATGCCCCTCTTATAGCAATCCAGGAGTTTAAAATCAGAAGAGTGTAAGCTAGACACGGGGATTGAAACTCTCTGAAGATTGGTAGCAGTTTCAGATTTTCATTCCTAACATGACCAACTGAATCCAAAAAACACAATCCACATAATGCATATGTTTCTATTGGAAAAGAAGGAATGTAATGGTGAACTAAGAAACACCTTGTCAAATATTCACAACATTCAGGAGTTCCTTCTTTTCAATAAGTTAATTACTACGATGCAAGTACTTTGAATTGGAAGAATGAAAGTAATAATGCTCGCATCTAAACAGGTAGATGCTCTGCATTTACACGGCCAACTAAATAGAAAAAACCCTATTAGCCTATGGATCCATTGAAAATGAAGGAAAGAGATGTAGAATGAGAAAACATCCCCCAGGAATTAATATTTGGCTAAATAGGAAGTTTGGTTCTGTATATGATACTACAAAACTTTTTAATTAAATTTCGTTATTTTCTACTTAGTAGCTAAAATGGTTTTACAAGGAAACTAGTTATATTTCTTGTTTGGTAAATTTTCCTAGTTTAGTTTTCCTAATCCAATTAGGTTTAGATTTTCCTAACTTCGGTGCCTAAGCCTTTCACTCTATAAGAACGTTAGAAAGGGCAGCATGAATTTGATTGATCAATAATTTGCGTTTTCAGAAAATTGGTTCGCTGCTTGTGCTCGTTTCATTCATTAATTGATTCTGCATTAGAATGTTAATGCAAAAATTTCTAAAAGGCACACCTTTGTTATAGATGCTATGCGAGGATTTGAAATTTGCTGATAAGGGTTGGGTAGTTGATCATTGATATCCTGCATATAAATCCAGGATGACAAGATTAGCATGTCACTCATAGCAAAGGAAGCTAATTTCAGTGTAAAAAATAGGTTTGACCTACTCTGATATTGGCAGGTTTCTCCCCTCTCTGCTCCATTATCTGCAACATAATTACCAAAATAGTTAGCGGAATTCTACCATTTGCTACTGAATCCATCAGCATTGCCAAATTGAATCTGAAATAGTTACTTCTTATGCATCCATATTTATCATACAAGAAGAAAATCACACAATATGAATAGTGGTAAAATTCAGACATCTCAGATTCCAGTTAAAATATGAAACATTAAATTCGTACAGTTAAGAAATCTCTAAAAAGATGATTTCTCTGTTCAATGTTTAAGATTTTAGTCAATTTTCTTTAAAGTAGCAATGCTCACTTGGGCTTAAGTTGCTACAGAAGGGTACAAAGTTATGAAATGTTTCAATAATTCCCATCTTCAATAAACTTGAAACTATTTTATTGTTTGACCAAGTTAATTAAATATCAAAACTTTGAAAACATTCAAAAATGTCCAAGTAGGATTCCAAAAAGTAAAGACCTTAAATCAATCCTGCAAAAAACAGAGCAAAATTTATGCCTTTGTATCCCTGTTTTTAATTAATGAAATATGATCCTATTCACCAACATATTAAAACAAAAGAAGTTGCATCCCCCTTTCTCTGCAAAAACACCAGCATCATGCAAACTATTGACCATTGGTCCACTACAATCTACAGGAGGATTAATTCCTATGGATGCCAGCCTCCAGTACACTTTGAACAAATTTGTTACACTAGGTCATACCTCCATATATGACTTTCGGTGTGCTGCAACAGAGGCTTGAGCAGACATGGACTGTGATGAAGATCTCCCTGTCCATAAAACTCTGATTACATGACATGGAAATCAAAACCAAAGAACAAAAGAAAACAAGAACTGAAACTGAAATAGCTGGAAAATAACCTGAACGCAAATCAAACTCTGCCTTGCCATTGGTATACGTTTGCTGATAAAAAGAAATAAACATTAAGAACCTCAAATTGCCGAGCTCAAAACTTATCTCACAGAATTTATAATGCAAACTTTCATTCCAAATCATGAAGCTTTCAGTGTCCAGTGCACACCTAAGTTATGCTCACCTTTGGATTTGCCACTGAGGCTCTATAATCTTCTTGATCAGCAAGAGAGTTTCTTGCACGGTAATCTATTTGTCCTGATGAGACAAAAAAAAGAAGAAGAAAAAATACTATAGATGAACAGATCTACTAATAGTGTTAAGACATGTTTTCCACAAATTTCAAAACATTACAAGATAAAAGATAGGAAATGAAAAGGAAGGCTACAAGTTACAATTATTTTTCTCAAGGCCTTCTCACCAGCATCTCATGTAATAGGGCACCCAGACTCCCCAACCAACACTGAAGCTTAAAGACTTTACATAATTTCAATCACACTCAATGCAATAATTTTACTTAACAAAGCACCACCTTAGGCATCTGGGATACAACCAAGCAGTTTACTCAGGCAATAAGCCAGATAACTTTTTAATGCATATAATAACAAGTTCCAAGACATGTAAAGAGCAGCAAAATTGAGCAATATCAACAACCAACCGCCACATGCACAAGAGCTATGACTACAGTGGCCATTTATTTCATTCATAACTGGCTGACAACCAAGAAAAATAAAAAATAATGCAGTTCATATAAACATTTTTTATTTTTCATACAATTTTTAACTTAATAAAATGTCATATAAGCATAGCAAAATCTAGTCAAAGCATACTTTATTAAACACTAACAAAACTATGCAAGAAACATTCCTCTTGTTCTCTCTAGGTGTAACTTTAGCTTTCCTGGATAAGCAGCAAGAGACCACAGGCCTCATTATTTAGGAGTCCTGACTTTCACATGACATTTTATGCCAAATTAGAGATGCATGAATTCAAAACTACAAACAGTTACAAGATGACATGCCTACAAATGTAGATTACGATCCTGTGCTTCCAATCTACCAAGCATGCAGGTTTTCACTATATATTTGTAATTTAATTAATTACGAGTCACATGATTAGCATGTGACCTTTTAATTATTTCCTTGGAGGTTGAGTTATTTCACTTGGTGACCAAGACTAATGAATCCTTTTCCTACAAGTATCTAGGGCTTAACTATTATTAATAGACTAGTAAAGGACAAACCCAGATTCATAGTACAGCTGCTGCAGTACACTACACCACTGTGCTACAATAACTTATCAAATTTAAACTATTGTTTAGGATTTGCTCCAGCATCAATATGGGTAACATGCACCATAGAAATTGAACATGATCAGCCAAGAAGACATTACTGAACTAGTTGAAAAAGAACCAACTTTACAAACAGTTTTCAGAATTCTGGAATGAATCATTTACAACTAGTTCAGCCTTAAAAGTCATTGAACAACAATGTCAAAATAGCACCTCAATCTTCCATGAATGTCTTAAAGTTTCTGCGATCATCAACATGCATTCTGCACTCCAAAATCCATTTCCACCAAACAAAAAGATACCTTTGTTTTATTTTTTCTCACAACCTATAATGTTGGCAAAGAGCAACTCTAAAAGGGAGTCTCACACTCTATTACATTTAACATATATTGATGCCTTAATTCCTAGATGCATGTAAAAATGGCAATTATGTGCCTAGCAGCTCTGAGAGCACCAGTGACAGAAAGTTCTTCCACAAATACACCATTGACAAATCAAAATTCTTAATGGGAACTGCTACAGACAAGGACAAAAGCAAGCATCTCAACAACCATGCATATGCAGCACATAGCACATAGAAAGAAATGTGGTTCTGATGTCAAAGCAACATCTTCTTACCTTCCAATCTATGTATAGCAGTACTCATTGACTTCATTTCCTGTACTTGCACATCTAACATATTCATAAATTCCTTGAAGCATCTCTTCTCTGAAAGAGTAAATCAAGAAGGTTACAAAATAATAATAATAATAATAATAATAAAAGAGTAAATCAAGAAGGTTACAAAACAATAATAATAATAATAATAATAATAATCAGAAAGCATTTAAAGAAACCAGTGCTGGAAATGAAAAAATAATAATTCTATCACTATCCCACCTTCATTTTCCGAATTCAACATTTCCTGGCTCGCTCTTGCAACATCAGCAGCTGCAGCTGCTGCTGCTTTAGCAGCTGCCGCTGCTTCTTCTGCCAAACTTAGCTTTGCATTAGTTTTCATCACGCTGTCATCTTCTTCTTCCAACACAACCTTGCGTATCCAAGACTTCAGCCTGGGAATAATAGTTTTCTGAAGAAGAAATAAGTTATCTGTTTGTGTCATGAAAGTTAACATGTAGAACCTTAAGAACCCAGTGCATAAATTTACACAAGGATGGGTGCAAGAAACTTACAGATGCAACCTACACCATCTTTGGAAATAGAAAACAAACATTAATCATAAACAAGTTCACTAGCATGACAGTGTGGTTGTGGAGAGTATTTTTTGATACCTTAACTAACACAGCTGTTCCAGCACCTGAAACTGCCAGCAGTCCTACAGCAACAACAGCATGATGCCAGTTAAATTGATGTTGAGTCAAAGTCCTCATTGTAGAAATGACACCAGTAGGAGCAGCTGCTACAGGTTGCAGGGTTTGTGCTGGGGCTGGTGGCTGAGCATTCGGTGTTGCTTTCACCTGACCCTCTGTTTTTGTCATAATACAACACGAAATACAATCAGTGATGCAAGGACATACAAATCTTAGAAATCCCAAGAACTGCTTATCACAAAACCATCCCGCTTTCATGCTAAGATCTTGTACCTTGACTAGAACTGGTTATACAAATCTTAGAAATCCCAACTGCTTATCACAAAACCATCCCACTTTCATACTAAGATCTTGTACCTTGACTAGAACTGGTTGCCTGTGTGTTTGGGGTTGGGTCCTGCAATTCGCCGAAAATGTAAGAGGGGAAGAATGAACAGATACAAATACATTGAGAATCCATAAACTAAAGAAAAAAAAATCATTAACCAGCGTGGCATATAAGAAAAAAGGTGAGCCAACAAAAATAACTTATTTACCGGCACACGCCGAAAAGCTTCATCTATCTCTTCCTTAGTGAGGCCCTTCTTCTCAAGAAACGATCTTCTATACATAACAGGAGAGCCCCTAACTTTTGGGTGCGAAAGAAACTTCACAGCATTCTGCACTTGTTCCTCTCGCATAGGTTCTGAGTTCACAAAGACAGATGGAGGACTTTGCTTGATAGCCTCAGCCCCAGCACCCTGCTGAACCCCAGTTGTTGGCTGTACATTCTCTGTAGCTCAAAGCATAAAAAAAGAAACCATTACCATATGCTTAATATAATCCTAAATTTGAAGTGATTTTGACACTGTAAACAAATAACCCATTGGTCGTCTCCCAAATCATTCAAGTTGCACATAACCATTCACACCAATCATCTTTGAATAGTAATCCATAAACAAAAGACACTGCAATCAATTGCAATGATAGTTAAGACATGAATAAATTAATTGAGCTGCAAATCACTGAATAATTATAATAATAACCTATAAGCGTAACAGTCTGATTGGAATTAAATCACATGTGAAATTGAATTCAATTCATAAGCAGATTTGAATTCAACCTATTACAATTCTTATGTTTGAAATACCCTGGAAATGAATTGAATTAGCAATCTTGACTATTTTGCTCTTAATTTAGAAATAATTAATTTAATTTAGAGCAAAATAATATAAAAATATAAAATCTTAAACAGAGCTCCACTATGATGTTCCCCTTCAATTCTAGCCCAATGCCCCCCATCCTGACTTATTGCCAAACCAGGCAGAGACTTGAAGATCTTTCCTTTCTCACCATTCCCATTATCAAGGCAAAACCTTTCTAAATTGAACCCCGGAGAATCATCATCCGTATAATCCACCTTCTCAGAACTAAAACCCATTGAAAGCATGCATCCTCTACTTTATTGTAACTGAAAAGCCCAATGATCACCAGAATACAAGTATCAACGTCCTGTGCACAACCTCTCTTATCCATCTCATGCCAAGTCTCAAATACCCCATTAAGATCACCCATTTAAATGAAAAAAAAATAAAATTGAAATCAGCATATTACAAGTCTGGACACTAGGAAAGCGAACCACTTCAATCATTCCTTCATAAAGACTATGGAAAAACGAGATGAAAATAAAAGATGGAAATGGGACCTGGGTTTTGATGGGCAGGATTTGCAGGAGAAGGTTCCGATGATTGAGTCGCCATTCTCAAACCTCCTCCGTTGACTGAATTTTGAAACCAAAAGGAAAATTAAATGAAGAGAATGGGAGAAAGGAAGAATCAAGACTTGTGAAGGATAATGAATACAAAGATATGACGTTAATGGTGTCTATCTGTCAGTCAGTCAGTTTTTGCTCATTTCGGAGTTCTTCTCCTATCACTTGCTATTTTTTTCTTTTTGGTTGGTGGGAGTTTTTTCTTAAACCCCAAAATAGGAAGAGTTAATTATATATTAGTCCTTAGAGTTAATCAACACCAACTAACTAGTCCTTAGAGTTTATCAACACTAAACTAACTAGTCCTTAGAGCATTAAACTGCATGCTCTCTATGAGGGCTCCTCGGCTATAAAAGCTACCCGCCATCACTCTCATCAGAAGCGTTGTTGCTCTTTAAATAACTCCATTTTAGTCCTTGGAGTTTATCAACACTAACTCACAAAAAATTGATTGTTATTCCAATAATAATAAGTGCACTAACTAACAAAAATTTGATTGTTATTCCAATAATAATAAGTGCAAATTGGGGGTTGGATTTTAAATTAATTTTTAACATGAAAAATAATGATTGCCTTATAGGCATGTTTCATGTATTGTAATGTTTTAAATTGAGAAGCAAAGAACATATTATTTGTGCTTTTTAAAATAAATAAAAAACAAATTATAAGTCAATAAATAAATAAAAAAGTTGTAAACACTAATTACAAAAACGATGTGGCCACACTACTGTACAAGTGTCATGTTTTACTCTGGATTGGAACAATACAATTAGAGCTTTGCCCTTCATAAAAATATCAAATAAATTGGCATTAAAAGATAAAATGATTTTTCTACGGGTTCATTTATCATCCTATATTTGTTAAGGGATAACTCAGTTTTTAATTTTTTACACATTAAAATTATTTGAATACCCTTTAAAGCAAAAAAGATTTACTATGGTCTAGGGTTTTTTTTTAAATTTTTTTTTTAAAGCACAATGTAATGACTTGCTTTTATAATCAAAATTTTCAAGGCATGGCTTTCAAGGGTTTTTATATAATTTTACAAAGATTTTTTTTATAGTAATTATTTGATCATATATACAATAAAATAATTTAATAAATAAAAAAATTTATTGAAGCATGCCTTGCATGCATCAATAACTTTATTATTAGCCAACAAGTGTAGCTGACTATGATGGTAAAATAATTTTTTTTTATTATGTCATTGGATTTTTCATGATGTTTTTTTTCTTAGAAGACAACGCATGCTGGTTATTTTTTAGTGGATTGTTGCCAATAATTTTTTTTTTCTCTTTCCTTTCTCAAAATTAATGTTAGCCGTTTAAAATTTCATGGCAATCTCTTTAGTTGCAAGTGTTTGCTAATCATTATTCTTTTAATTTGAAATTTTTGTGATTGCCCTTTTTATAAAATTTTGATTTATTTTTAATTTTATCATTTAATCTAAATTTATCATTTTTTGTTTGTTCAATTTTGGTCATGTTCTTTTTATTTCTTAATGGTTTTTTTCTTACCTATTTTTTAAACTTTCAATTATTTTCAATTTCATCCTATGATAAAAAAAATTAAATTTGCTATTTTTTTAATTTAGTCATTATTCTTTTGGTGGCTCCTTCTTTTAATTATTTTGCAAAATTAATTTTTCTTTTTAATCCAAAATTATCCTTTCTCTCATTTTTTTTTCAAATTTGACCTTTATTTTTTTAATTGTTATTTTTTATTTTGAACATTTTTATATAATTGATTTTTTTAATTTCATCATTTGACATTTGATTTATTAAAAATTTAATTTATGTTTGATTAAGTTTAATGCTTTAGATCAAATGGCTCGAATTACAGGTTTTATAAGTTAACAATGGTTTTTAAAAAAACATTAGTTTTCATGATTTTATTTATTTTTCTTTTTGGGTTTTAAAAATTAGCTTATGATTTAAAAAAAAATTAGTTTTTTTCTTTAGTTTTTAAAAATTAGTTTTCCAATCTCATAACCTGACTTATGGGTTTGATAAGTTGACCTGAGTGGGCCCGAGCCTTTTTTGGGTTATAATTGCTTATTTATTTTTATTCTTTTGTTTGATTAATTTGTTTTTCAATTTTATCTTTCAACATTTGATTAGTTAAAATTAGGCTTTAACTTTTTTTCAATTTAGTGTTTTTGATCAAATAACTAGGGACATGGGTTTAATAGGTTAATACGAGTTATGTAATTTCATGTGTTTCACTGACTACCTATATAAGTTTAAGCGGGCCACTTTTTTATCCTGTTTTTAATTTTTGTTTTCATTTTTAGCATTTGATATTTGATTTATTATAATTGGTCTTTTTAATTTATTTTGATGTGGGTTCCATAATTTTATCATGATCACACATCTCAGATTACGAGTTTTACATGATAATCATTATTAACTTGGATTAATCTAATATGTTGTCGTTTCAATGTAACGTGTGTACATTAAGATGAATTATTAAGATGAATTATAAACAGCTTGCGCGAAAAAATCACCGGGGGGAGGGGGTGTTTAAGGAATGGGGGATTTTAAGGAATTTTTTCTTGTTAAGGTTTAAAAATATTGGTTGGAATGTTTATGAAAACAATAGTAGTGAGTAGCAATTAACTCCCTCAGACTCTAGGTATTATTTCTTTAGGTCGTCACATACTTGTCCAGCAGTGAATTATTTATAGTATTTTTTTTTATTTACGTGGGTATCTGGGCCAGCTTGCGCGCATCACGACTAATCCCCACGGCCCACTGAATATCCTGCAAACCTAGTAGGCATGTAAGGCACCGCGGGGGTGACAGGCGTGCACGCTAGGGCTCGAACCCAGGTGCAGTGGAAGGAGACAAGCCCCTTCCACCGCTAGGCCAAGTCCTAATTTGCTTATAGTATTTATTTTGTTTAATCAATATTGTGGCTATTTTTGTTATTTAAATGAAACTAAGACAAACGATGTATGCAACTTAACTATTAATCTCTTTTTTAGGTTTGTACACTGACATTATACTTATTCTTATTTATTAAATTAAGTATGAAAACAATTAACTCATTTTGTTTTTTCATATTCTTTTTTATGTCATTGTCGTAGATTAATTCATATTGTAATTGTATATAAATTGTGAAATGGAGGGTTGAGAAGAATAAATGAATTATATTCTTACTTAGTGATGTAGTTATAAAGACATAAGATAATTAAACCATGAATTTTATTATTATTATTATTAATGTGGATGTCCGGGTTAATTTAAGTATACCTTAATTAATTTTATGTGTCTTCAAATTACTGATCATGTAAACTTTTAGTAACTCTAAAATTTACGAGATTCAAACTAATAATCTTTAAAGAGTAAATTCAGAATTTAACTAGTTAAATTATACCTTTTAAAATTTAATATCAAACACTTGATGTTATTCAATTTTTTTTAAGACCCTGTTAGAAATCTTAATACAATATTAAATAATTAAAATAAGGGTAGCATGTAATCATGATCGATGGATTTTGAGAATTTTTTTAAAAAACAAATAAACAATTATAGGGTTTCCTATTATTCATGACTAATGATTCGTATGAAATGCGGTTTAAAAGTTGAGGTTGGTACAACTTAGCATTTCCAATTGGTAAACTAGAAGGAACAAAAATAGAACACCCGCAAGAACTTTGATGTCTAAACTAAATATATTTTTCTCATTTCTTGACCATGCTCATTTTCCCCTTTTCTTTACCTTCTTTGCAATAAGTCCTTTATGCTAACTTCCATAAAAAAGAAAAATAGCTTATTCCTTACAATTATTCCGATTTAATAAGGTCAGATTAAATTCTACCCTCTTATCTTGCAATTTGCTCATATATATTTTGACCAACAATATCCCATATTGTTAAACAAAAAATTAAGATTTTATGATAGAATATATTTTTTTTTTTTAGAAAACTCCACTCTCTAGAAAGTATATTTTATAAACTTAGATGAGTAAGTTAAATCTCAGTTATCCTAGATTTTTACAATACTTTTCTAAGATTAAATACTCTTGTAAGATTGGGATTTTATTACCTAGGATTAGACCACAATTGCTTCTATTGTTTGATGCTTTAAAACAGTTCTAGCGAACAACAGCCTATGCATATGTGAATGTATATCTATACATTTTCCTTTTTTTTAATATATAATATGCTCATTTTATCTTTATTTTCCCTACAACAATGGGATATGTTAAGCCATTTCACAACAAGAATCCTTTTGCTATAAGATGGACCTCTACGTGTGTGTGGTTTTTTGTGTTTCAATATTAATGCTCTACTCACTGATCATTTATGCAAATAAATTTTCCAATTCTATATTATATATAACACAAGAAACAAATCATTGGAAGTTGGAAATAAAAGGGAAAATCAAAGTTTGTTCATGAAAATCTACCAAAAAATATGCAGTTTTTGTAAAGACATATCTACTTGATAAGAAATGAGATGTCAAAACCATTCTCATCTCTACTTGAGCTTATTGCTCGACCTCAAATTTGACCCATCCTCTTTTAGTTGAACATTCAACAAGTTCTTCTGTTAATGTTTTGCATGGGTTGTGGTTCAGCTTCTTGAATTTGTTTAGGGTATACCACTTGCATTTTGGTTTGTAACGCTAGCTTTAGCTTGCCTCCATGCTGATTCTTCGTGTGATTTCTCATGTTGTATATATTTTTTCTTTTACCTCACATGTGCTGAATTGTATGGGATATTAATGATGAATTAGGCTCTGATTTTCAGAATCAAAATTTGATTGGAGTTGAAAGGAAGAATTAAAAGATGATGAAGAACAAAAAATCCCCATTTAGATTTTGGCATAAAAAAATTTGGTTTAATCTGTAAACTTTTAGTTTTTTATCATTTGGTCCTTGTTATTTTGGAAATTCACATTTCAATACCAAATTTAATTTTTATGACATTTTCAATCCTTGTGTGCTGAGAGAGAAAAGAAAAGGTTTTCAAAAAAAATTGAGGAGATAGAAAATGCTTGAATAATCAAATTCCTACTACTAAAAAGATCAATTTTTATATTAATATTTTTGTGTCGATCTTTATATTAATATGTTTGTGCTCCTAAGAGAAGTTCAATGAAGCCGTGTTTTTTCTATAACCATGATAAAAAAAAATGGTTTTATCAAGCTTTTTATAACCATGATTCTAATTAAGTTTTTG